AGAGACACACACAGAGACACACACAGAGACACACACAGAGACACACACAGTGACACACACAGTGACACACAGAGACACACACACAGAGACACACACAGGGACACACACAGACACACGCACAGAGACACACACAGACACACGCACAGACACACACACAGACACACACACAGAGGCACACACAGAGACACACACAGAGACAGAGAGACACACACAGACACACAGAGAACACACACAGAGACACACACACAGACACACACAGAGACACACAGAGACACACACACACAGACACACACACACACACAGACACACACACAGACACACACAGACACACACACACAGAGACACACACACAGAGACACACACACAGACACACACACAGACACACACACAGACACACACACAGAGACACACACACAACCATCCACGTTGTTGCATGGTTGTTGTTGTGTGATTATCGTTGTTGTGGAAGTATAGTTGTTGCGGTTGTAGTTGTTGCAGTAGTATAGTTGTTGTGGTTGTTGTGGTTGTTGTGGTAGTTGTTGTTGTGGTAGTATAGCTGTTGTGGTTGTAGTTGTTGTGGTCGTATAGTTGTTATGTTGTGGTAGTATAGTTGTTGTGGTTCTTGTAGTTGTTGCAGTAGTATAGTTGTTGTGGTTGTTGTGGTAGTATAGTTGTTGTGGTTGTTGTGGTAGTATAGTTGTTGTGGTTGTATAGTTGTTATGTTGTGGTTGTATAGTTGTTGTGTTGTGGTAGTATAGTTGTTGTGGTTGATGTTGTTGTTGTTGTAGGCATGGTTGTTGTGGCTGTTGTGTGGTTGCTGTGAGGCTGTAGTTCTGGTTGTTGCGGTTGTTGTAGTTGTGGTTGTTGGTGTCGCTGTGTGGTTGTTGTAGTTGTTGCTGTGGTTGTAGTTGGTGTGGTTGTTGTGGTTATTGTAGTTGTTGTGGTTGTTGTGGTTATTGTAGTTGTTGTGGTTGTTATTATTGTTGTGGTTGTTGTTGTAGTTGTTGTTGTTGTAGTTGTTGTGGTTGTTGTGGTTGTTGTTGTTGTGGTTGTTATTATTGTTGTTGTTGTTGTAGTTGTTGTTGTTGTTGTAGTTGTTGTTGTTATTATTGTTGTTGTTGTAGTTGTTGTTGTGGTTGTTGTTGTGGTTGTTGTTGTGGTTGTTGTTGTGGTTGTTGTTGTGGTTGTTGTGGTTGTGGATGTTGTTGTTGTGGATGTTGTTGTAGTTGTTGTTGTGGTTGTTGTTGTGGTTGTTGTTGTGGTTGTTGTTGTAGTTGTTGTGGTTGTTGTGGTTGTGGATGTTGCTGTTGTGGATGTAGTTGTGGATGTTGTAGTTGTTGTAGTTGTTGTTGTTGTCGCTGTATGGTTGTAGTTGTGGTTGGAGTTGTTGTGGTTGTTGTGGTTGTTGTTGTGGTTGTTGTAGTTGTTGTAGTTGTGGTTGTTGTAGTTGTGGTTTTTATAGTTGTTGTGGTTGTTGTGGTTGTTGTTGTGGTGGTTGTTGTTGTTGTAGTTGTTGTAGTTGTAGTTGTGGTTGTAGTGGTTGTTGTTGTGGTTGTTGTTGTTGTTGTGGTTGTAGTTGTAGTAGTTGTTGTTGTTGTGGTTGTTGTGGTTGTTGTAGTTGTTGTTGTGGTTGTAGTTGTTGTGGTTGTAGTTGTTGTGGTTGTTGTTGTTGTGGTTGTTGTTGTAGTTGTTGTGGTTGTTGTAGTTGTTGTGGTTGTAGTAGTTGTTGTGGTTGTTGTTGTTGTGGTTGTTGTTGTAGTTGTTGTGGTTGTTGTTGTGGTTGTTGTAGTTGTTGTGGTTGTTGTTGTAGTTGTTGTTGTAGTTGTTGTGGTTGTTGTGGTTGTTGTAGTTGTTGTGGTTGTTGTAGTTGTTGTTGTGGTTGTTGTAGTTGTTATGGTGGTTGTTGTTGTGGTTGTTGTAGTTGTTGTGGTGGTTGTTGTTGTGGTTGTTGTGGTTGTTGTAGTTGTTGTGGTTGTTGTTGTTGTGGTTGTTGTAGTTGTTGTTGTAGTTGTTGTTGTAGTTGTTGTGGTGGTTGTTGTTGTGGTTGTTGTTGTGGTTGTTGTTGTGGTTGTTGTTGTGGTTGTGGTTCTTGTTGCTCACCAGGATCTCCTCCTGCAGGCTGAGTTTGCGTCTCCGGATGTGAGCCAACTCCTGGCACTCCAACTCCGTCAAGTCCGCCGGCACTGACAACAACAACAACCACCACAACCACAACCATTATACAACCACAACCATCACCACAACAACCACCACAACCATTACACAACCACCACCACAACAACCACCACAACAACCACCACCACCATTATACAACCACCACCACCATTATACAACAACCACCACAACCATTATACAACAACCACCACCACACCCACCACCACAACCACCACCACAACCATTATACAACAACCACCACCAACATTATACAACAACCACCACAACCATTATACAACAACCACCACTAACATTATACAACAACCACCACCATTATACAACAACCACCACCACCATTATACAACAACCACCACCAACATTATACAACAACCACCACCACCACCATTATACAACAACCACCACCACCATTATACAACAACCACCACCATTATACAACAACCACCACCACCATTATACAACAACCACCACCACCATTATACAACAACCACCACCATTATACAACAACCACCACCACCACCACAACCATTATACAACAACCACCACCAACATTATACAACCACCACCATTATACAACCACCACAACCACAACCATTATACAACAACCACCATTATATAACCATCACCACCATACAACAACCACAACCATTATACAACAACCACCATTATATAACCACCACCATACAACAACCACCACCATACAACCACCACAACCATTATACAACAACCACCACCATACAACCACCATCATACAACAACCACCACAACCATTATACAACAACCACCACCACCATACAACAACCACCATCATACAACAACCACAACCATTATACAACAACCACCACCATACAACAACCACCACCATTATTATTATACAACCACCATTATAGAACCACAACCACCATACAACAACCACCATACAACAACCACAACCACCATACAACAACCACCACCATCATTATTATACAACCACCATTATACAACCACAACCACCATACAACAACCACAACCACCATACAACCACAACCACCATACAACAACCACAACCACCATACAACCACAACCACCATACAACCACCACAACCACCATTATTCAACAACCACCACAACAACCACCATTATACCACAACCACCACAACAACCATCACCACCACAACAACCACCACAACCATCACCACAACCACAACAACCATCACCACCACAACCATCACCACAACCACCACCACCACAACAACTACAACCACCACAACAACCACAACCATCACTACAACCACCACAACAACCACAACCATCACCACAACCACCACGACAACCACAACCATCACCACAACCACCACAACAATCACCACAACCACCACAACCATCACCACAACAACAACCACCACCATCACAACCACCACGATAACCACCACCACGACAACCACCACCACCACAACCATCACCACCACCACCATCACAACAACCACCACAACACCACCACAACCACCACAACAACAACCACCACCACCACAACCACCACCACAACCACCACCACCACAACAACCACCACCACCACGACCACCACCACAACCACCACCACCACCACGGTCTCCTCACCGAACTCTTCCGCCTCCATCGTCGCGGATTCTTCCAGAACCATGAGGACGGCTGCTGCTGATCGTTGTTGTTGTTGTGGTTGTTGTTGTGGTTGTTGTTGTATAGTGATGGTGGTTGTAGTGTTACCGCTGTTAGAGTGATGGTGGTCGCAACTGTAGTTGTGGTGGTGGTCGAGTTGGTTGTACTGGTAGTATAGCAGTGGCAGTAATAGTTTGTTGTTGTTGTGGTGGTTGTTGTGGTTGTGGTTGTTGTTGTGGTTGTTGTTGTGGTTGTGCTGACTCCGATAGCGACTTCGACCACCCTACCAAGACTTCAAATCTGTAATGACACCCTACCAAAATGGCGGCCACGGTAGCCACGCCCTCGCCGGAAGTTACGTTTTTCCGGTAACCAAATTCCCCCCGTCGGGTGACGTCATCCGGAACCGACAATCACGTTGAGTGACGTCATGCAAAACCGACAAGCCCGGGAGTGCCGTCACGTGGCACTTGTTACTGAAAGGGGGTAGCCATCTTACCTGGGGGGTGTCTTCTGAAAGGGGGCAGCCATCTTACCTGGGGAATGTCTTCTGAAATGGGGCAGCCATCTTACCGGGGGGTGTCTTCTGAAAGGGGGCAGCCATCTTACCTGGGGTGTGTCTTCTGAAAGGGCGTAGCCATCTTACCTGGGGGGTGTCTTCTGAAAGGGGGCAGCCATCTTACCTGAGGGGTGTCTCCTGAAAGGGGGCAGCCATCTTACCTGGGGCGTGTCTTCTGAAAGGGGGCAGCCATCTTACCTGAGGGGTGTCTCCTGAAAGGGGGCAGCCATCTTACCGGGGGGGGTGTCTTCTGAAAGGGCGTAGCCATCTTACCTGGGGGGTGTCTTCTGAAAGGGGCAGCCATCTTACCTGAGGGGTGTCTCCTGACAGGGGGCAGCCATCTTACCTGGGGCGTGTCTTCTGAAAGGGGGCAGCCATCTTACCTGAGGGGTGTCTCCTGAAAGGGGGCAGCTATCTTACCTGGGGCGTGTCTTCAGAAAGGGGGCAGCCATCTTACCTGGGGGTGGCTTCTGAAAGGCGGCAGCCATCTTACCTGGGGGGTGTCTTCTGAAAGGGGGCCGCCATCTAAACTAGGGGGGTGTCTTCTGAAATGGGGCAGCCATCTTACCTGGGGGGTGTCTTCTGAATGGGCGTAGCCATCTTACCTGGGGGGCGTCTTCTAAAAGGGGGCAGCCATCTTACCTGAGGGGTGTCTCCTGAAAGGGGGCAGCCATCTTACCTGGGGGGGGGGGGTGTCTTCTGAAAGGGGGCAGCCATCTTACCTGGGGGGTGTCTTCTCAACGGGGGCAGCCATCTTTCCTGAGGGGTGTCTCCTGAAAGGGGGCAGCCATCTTACCTGGGGGGTGTCTACTCAAAGGGGGCAGCCATCTTACCTGAGGGGTGTCTCCTGAAATGGGGCAGCCATCTTACCTGGGGGGTGTCTTCTGAAAGGGGGCAGCCATCTTACCTGGGGCGGGGGGTGTCTTCTGAAAGGGGGCAGCCATCTTACCTGGGGGGCGTCTTCTGAAAGGGGGCAGTCATCTTACCTGGGGGGTGTCTTCTGAAAGGGGGCAGCCATCTTACCTGGGGGGTGTCTTCTCAACGGGGGCAGCCATCTTTCCTGAGGGGTGTCTTCTGAAAGGGGGCAGCCATCTTTCCTGGGGGATGTCTTCTCAACGGGGGCAGCCATCTTACCTGGGGGTCTTTTCCAGATGCAGGAGTCTCCATGAACCCCAAAAAAATCAATTACCGTACTAATCAACGCTACGGTGGCGAGGGAGTTGTTGACTTCCTCACCTGGTCTACAGGAGGCCGTGGGTTCGATCCCTGGACCCTGTTGTGTCTGCATCTCTCACAAGGGAGATGTTGACTGCCTCGCCTGGTGTACAGGAGGTCGTGGGTTCGATCTCTGGACCCTGTTGTGTCTGCGTCTCTCTCTCTCTCTCTCACAAGGGAGATGTTGACTGCCTCGCCTGGTGTACAGGAGGTCGTGGGTTCGATCCCTGGACCCTGTTGTGTCTGTGTCTCTCTCTCTCAAGGGAGATGTTGACTACCTCGCCTGGTGTACAGGATGTCGTGGGTTCGATCCCTGGACCCTGTTGTGTCTGCATCTCTCTCACAAGGGAGATGGTGACTACCTCGCCTGGTCTACAGGAGGTCGTGGGTTCGAACCCTGGACCCTGTTGTGTCTCCATCTCTCTATCTCACAAGGGAGATGTTGACTACCTCGCCAGGTATACAGGAGGTCGTGGGTTCGATCCCTGGACCCTGTTGTGTCTGCATCTCTCTCTCACAAGGGAGATGTTGACTACCTCGCCTGGTGTACAGGAGGTCGTGGGTTCGATCCCTCGACCCTGTTGTGTCTGCATCTCTCTCACAAGGGAGATGTTGACTACCTCGCCTGGTGTACAGGAGGTCGTGGGTTCGATCCCTGGACCCTGTTGTATCTGCGTCTCTCTCTCACAAGGGAGGTGTTGACTACCTCGCCTGGTGTACAGGAGGTCGTGGGTTCGATCCCTGGACCCTGTTGTGTCTGCATCTCTCACAAGGGAGATGTTGACTACCTCGCCTGGTGTACAGGAGGTCGTGGGTTCGATCCCTGGACCCTGTTGTGTCTGCGTCTCTCTCTCTCTCACAAGGGAGATGTTGACTACCTCGCCTGGTCTACAGGAGGTCGTGGGTTCGATCCCTGGACCCTGTTGTGTCTGCATCTCTCTCACAAGGGAGATGGTGACTACCTCGCCTGGTCTACAGGAGGTCGTGGGTTCGAACCCTGGACCCTGTTGTGTCTGCATGTCTCTCTATCTCACAAGGGAGATGTTGACTACCTCGCCTGGTCTACAGGAGGTCGTGGGTTCGATCCCTGGACCCTGTTGTGTCTGCATCTCTCTCTCTCACAAGGGAGATGTTGACTACCTCGCCTGGTGTACAGGAGGTCGTGGGTTCGATCCCTCGACCCTGTTGTGTCTGCATCTCTCTCACAAGGGAGATGTTGACTACCTCGCCTGGTGTACAGGAGGTCGTGGGTTCGATCCCTGGACCCTGTTGTATCTGCGTCTCTCTCTCTCTCTCACAAGGGAGGTGTTGACTACCTCGCCTGGTGTACAGGAGGTCGTGGGTTCGATCCCTGGACCCTGTTGTGTCTGCGTCTCTCTCACAAGGGAGATGTTGACTACCTCGCCTGGTGTACAGGAGGTCGTGGGTTCGATCCCTGGACCCTGTTGTCTATGTTGGAGTCTGAGTCTCTCTCCCCGTGTTGGTCGCTGCATGGATTCTGTCTCCGCGTTCCACCCCTCCACGTCTCTGAATCAACATCGCCCATGCGTTCAGAGGCACTTAGCTGTTGCTAGACATTTACACTTGATGATGATGACGATGACGTCAGCCCACGTGGCTGAGCTGCTATGCTGTGTTGTGATGTCCAGGCTGTACCGCTCGTCTGATGGAGCAGCTACACAGCAGCACTAGCTCAGTGGGGCTCCTTACACAGCTGGTGACATGAATAGAGTTTAGCTTTAGTGTGGGTCTCTGTGTGTCTCTATGTGTCTCTGTGTGTCTCTGTGGGGTCTCTATGTGTCTCTGTGTGTCTCTGTGGTGTCTCTGTGGGGTCTCTGTGGGGTCTCTGTGTCTCTGTGTGTCTCTGTGTCTCTCTGTGGGTCTCTGTGTGTCTCTATGGGTCTCTGTGTGTCTCTGTGTGTCTCTGTGGGGTCTCTGTGTGTCTCTGTGGGTCTCTGTGTGTCTCTATGGGTCTCAGTGTGTCTCTGTGTGTCTCTGTGGGTCTCTGTGTGTCTCTGTGGGTCTCTATGGGCTCTCTGTGTGTCTCTGTGTGTCTCTTTGTGTCTCTGTGTGTCTCTGCGGGGTCTCTGTGTGTCTCTATGTGTCTCTGTGGGGTCTCTATGGGTCTCTCTGTCTCTGTGGGTCTCTATGTGTCTCTGTGGGTCTCTGTGTGTCTCTATGGGTCTCTGTGTGTCTCTTTGTGTCTCTGTGGGTCTCTGTGTGTCTCTGTGGGGTCTCTATGGGTCTCTCTGTCTCTGTGGGTCTACATGTGTCTCTGTGGGGTCTCTGTGTGTCTCTATGTCTCTGTGGGTCTCTGTGTGTCTCTATGGGTCTCTGTGTGTCTCTGTGTGTCTCTGTGGGTCTTTGTGTGTCTCTGTGTGTCTCTGTGGGGTCTCTATGGGTCTCTCTGTCTCTGTGGGTCTCTATGTGTCTCTGTGGGTTCTCTGTGTGTCTCTATACCTCTGTGGCTCTCTGTGTGTCTCTATGGGTCTCCGTGTGTCTCTGTGTGTCTCTGTGTGTCTCTATGGGTCTCTGTGTCTCTATGCATCTCTGTGTGTCTCTGTGGGTCTCTATTGGTCTCTGTGTGTCTCTGTGGGGTCTCTGTGTGTCTCTATGGGTCTCTGTGTGTCTCTATGGGTCTCTGTGTGTCTCTGTCTCTGTGGGTCTCTGTGTGTCTCTATGGGTCTCTGTGTGTCTCTGTGGGGTCTCTATGGGTCTCTGTGCGTCTCTGTGGGGTCTCTGTGTGTCTCTATGGGTCTCTGTGTGTCTCTATGGGTCTCTGTGTGTCTCTGTCTCTGTTGGTCTCTGTGTGTCTCTATGGGTCTCTGTGTGTCTCTGTGGGGTCTCTATGGGTCTCTATGTGTCTCTGTGTGTCTCTGTGTGTCTCTATGGGTCTCTGTGTCTCTATGCATCTCTGTGTGTCTCTGTGGGTCTCTATGGGTCTCTGTGTGTCTCTGTGGGGTCTCTGTGTGCCTCTATGGGTCTCTGTGTGTCTCTATGGGTTTCTGTGTGTCTCTGTCTCTATGGGTCTTTGTGTGTCTCTATGGGTCTCTGTGTGTCTCTGTGGGGTCTCTATGGGTCTCTATGTGTCTCTGTGTGTCTCTGTGGGGTCTCTGTGTGTCTCTATGGGTCTCTGTGGGTCTCTATGGGCTCTCCGTGTGTCTCTATGGGCTCTCTGTGTGTCTCTGTGTGTCTCTATGGGGTCTCTGTGTGTCTCTGTGTGTCTCTGTGGGTCTCTGTGTCTCTGTGTGTCTCTATGTGTCTCTGTGTGTCTCTATGTGTCTCTGTGTGTCTCTATGGGGTCTCTGTGTTTCTCTGTGTGTCTCTGTGGGTCTATGTGTGTCTCTGTGTGTCTCTATGGGGTCTCTGTGTGTCTCTGTGTGTCTCTGTGGGTCTCTGTGTCTCTGTGTGTCTCTGTGTGTCTCTATGGGTCTCTTTGGGTCTCTGTGTCTCTATGGGTCTCTGTGTGTCTCTGTGTGTCTCTGTGGGTCTCTGTGTGTCTGTGCTCTGTGTGTCTCTGCGGGTCTCTGTGTCTATGTGTCTCTGTGTGTCTCTGTGTGTCTCTGTGTGTCTCTCTGTGTCTCTGTGTGTCTCTGTGGGTCTCTGAGTCTCTGTGTATCTCTATGGGTCTCTGTGTGTCGCTCTGTGTCTCTGTGTGTCTCTGTGGGTCTATGTGTCTCTGTGCGTCTCTGTGTGTCTGTGCTCTGTGTGTCTCTGTGTGTCGCTCTGTGTCTCTGTGTGTCTCTGTGTGTCTCTATGGGTCTCTATGGGGCCTCTGTGTGTCTCTGTGGGTCTCTGTGTCTCTGTGGGGTCTCTATGGGTATCTGTGTATCTCTGTGTGTCTCTGTGTGTTTCTGTGGGGTCTCTGTGTGTCTCTGGGTCTCTGTGTGTCTCTGTGTGTCTCTATGGGTCTCTATGGGGTCTCTGTGTGTCTCTGTGGGTCTCTGTGTCTCTGTGGGGTCTCTATGGGTATCTGTGTATCTCTGTGTGTCTCTGTGGGGTCTCTGTGTCTCTGTGGGGTCTCTATGGGTATCTGTGTATCTCTGTGTGTCTCTGTGGGGTCTCTGTGTCTCTGTGTGTCTCTTTGTGTCTCGGGGTCTCTGTGTCTCTATGTGCCTCTGTGAGTCTGTGTGTCTCTGTGTGTCTCTGTGGGGTCTATGTGTCTCTGTGCGTCTCTGTGTGTCTCTGTGTGTATGTGCTCTGTGTGTCTCTGTGTGTCGCTCTGTGTCTCTGTGTGTCTCTGTGTGTCTCTGTGTGTCTCTATGGGCCTCTATGGGGCCTCTGTGTGTCTCTGTGGGTCTCTGTCTCTGTGGGGTCTCTATGGGTATCTGTCTATCTCTGTGTGTCTCTGTGTGTTTCTGTGGGGTCTCTGTGTGTCTCTGGGTCTCTGTGTGTCTCTGTGTGTCTCTATGGGTCTCTATGGGGTCTCTGTGTGTCTCTGTGGGTCTCTGTGTCTCTGTGGGGTCTCTATGGGTATCTGTGTATCTCTGTGTGTCTCTGTGGGGTCTCTGTGTCTCTGTGGGGTCTCTATGGGTATCTGTGTATCTCTGTGTGTCTCTGTGGGGTCTCTGTGTCTCTGTGTGTCTCTTTGTGTCTCGGGGTCTCTGTGTCTCTATGTGCCTCTGTGAGTCTGTGTGTCTCTGTGTGTCTCTGTGGGGTCTATGTGTCTCTGTGCGTCTCTGTGTGTCTCTGTGTGTATGTGCTCTGTGTGTCTCTGTGTGTCGCTCTGTGTCTCTGTGTGTCTCTGTGTGTCTCTGTGTGTCTCTATGGGCCTCTATGGGGCCTCTGTGTGTCTCTGTGGGTCTCTGTCTCTGTGGGGTCTCTATGGGTATCTGTCTATCTCTGTGTGTCTCTGTGTGTTTCTGTGGGGTCTCTGTGTGTCTCTGGGTCTCTGTGTGTCTCTGTGTGTCTCTATGGGTCTCTATGGGGTCTCTGTGTGTCTCTGTGGGTCTCTGTGTCTCTGTGGGGTCTCTATGGGTATCTGTCTATCTCTGTGTGTCTCTGTGTGTTTCTGTGGGGTCTCTGTGTGTCTCTGGGTCTCTGTGTGTCTCTGTGTGTCTCTATGGGTCTCTATGGGGTCTCTGCGTGTCTCTGTGGGTCTCTGTGTCTCTGTGGGGTCTCTATGGGTATCTGTGTATCTCTGTGTGTCTCTGTGTGTTTCTGTGGGGTCTCTGTGTCTCTGTGTGTCTCTGTGGGGTCTCTGTGTGTCTCTGTGTGTCTCTATGGGTCTCTGTGTGTCTCTGTGTGTCTCTGGGTCTCTGTGTCTCTGTGGGTCTCTGTGCGTCTCTATGGGTCTCTGTGTGTCTCTGGGTCTCTATGTGTCTCTGTCTGTCTCTATGGGTCTCTGTGTGTCTCTGTGTGTCTCGGGGTCTCTGTGTCTCTGTGTCTCTGTGTGTCTCTGTGGGTCTCTGTGGGTCTCTGTGTCTCTGTGGGTCTCTACGTGTCTCTGTGTGTCTCTGTGGGTCTCTGTGGGTCTGTGTGTCTCTGTGTGTCTCTGTGGGTCTCTGTGTCTCTGTGTGTCTCTATGGGTCTCTGTGTGTCTCTGTGTGTCTCTGGGTCTCTGTGTCTCTGTGTGTCTCTGTGTGTCTGTGTCTCTGTGTGTCTCTGTGTGTCTCTGTGGGGTCTCCGTGTGTCTCTATGTGTCTCTATGTGTCTCTGTGGTGTCTCTGTGTATCTCTGTGTCTCTGTGGGTCTCTGTGGGTCTCTGTGTGTCTCTATGGATCTCCGTGTGTGTCTGGGTCTATGTGGGGTCTCTCTGTGTATCTAGGTCTCTGTGTGTCGGTGTCTCTGTGTGTCTCTGTGGGGTCTCTGTGAGTCTGTGTCTCTGTGTGTCTCTGTGTGTCTCTGTGGGGTCTCCGTGTGTCTCTATGTGTCTCTATGTGTCTCTGTGGTGTCTCTGTGTATCTCTGTGTCTCTGTGGGTCTCTGTGGGTCTCTGTGTGTCTCTATGGATCTCCGTGTGTGTCTGTGTCTATGTGGGGTCTCTCTGTGTCTCCAGGTCTCTGTGTGTCTCTGTGTGTCTGTGTCTCTGTGTGTCTCTGTGGGGTCTCTGTGAGTCTGTGTCTCTGTGTGTCTCTGTGTGTCTCTATGGGTCTCTGTGTGTCTCTATGGGTCTCTATGTATTTCTATGGGTCTCTGTGTCTCTGTGAGTCTCTGTGTCTCTGTGAGTCTCTATGTGGGTCTCTGTGTGTCTCTATGGGTCTCTGTGTGTCTCTATGGGTCTCTGTGAGTCTCTGTGTCTCTGTGAGTCACTGTATCTCTGTGGGTTTCTATGTATGTCTGTGGGTCTCTGTGTATCTCTGTGTATCTCTGTGGGTCTCTGTGTATCTCACCAACCCACCATCTCACTCACCCACCCACCATCCCACCCACTCACCCACCATCTCACTCACCCACCCACTCTCACCCACCCACCCACTAACTCACTCACCCACCCACCATCCACTCACCAACCCACCATCTCACCCACCCACCATCTCACTCACCCACCCACCATCCCACTCACCCATCTCACTCACGCACCCACCATCTCACTCACCCACCCACTATCTCACCCACCCACCCACTATCTCACTCACCCACCCACCACTCACCAACCCACCATCTCACCCACCCACCATCTCACTCACCCACCCACCATCCCACTCACCCATCCACCCATCTCACTCACCCACCCACCATCTCACCCACCCACTCACTCACCCACCCACCCACTATCTCACTCACCCACCCACTATCTCACTCACCCACCCACCATCTCACTCACCCACCCACCATCCACCCACCCACCATCTCACCCACCCACCCATCCACTCACCAACCCCTATCTCACTCACCCACACACCATCTCACTCACCCACCCACCATCCACCCACCCACCATCTCACCCACCCACCCATCCACTCACCCACCCACCCACTAACTCAACCACCCACCTATCCACTCATCCACCCATCCACTCACCCACCCATCCACTCACCCACCCACCCATCCACTCATCCACCCACCCATCCACTCACCCACCCACTATCTCACTCACCAACCCACCATCTCACCCACCCACCATCTCACCCACCCACCCACCATCTCACCCACCCACCCACCATCTCACCCACCCACCCACCATCCACTCACCCACCCACTATCTCACTCACCCACCCACCATCCACTCACCAACCCACCATCTCACCCACCCACCATCTCACCCATCCACCCAATCACTCAACCACCCACCCATCCACTCACCCACCCACCCATCCACTCACCCACCCACCCACTATCTCACTCACCCACCCATCATCCACTTACCAACCCATCATCTCACCCACCCACCCACCATCCACTCACCCACCCACCATCCACTCACCAACCTACCATCTCACCCACCCACCATCTCACCCATCCACCTACTCACTCAACCACCCACCCATCCACTCACCCACCCACCCATCCACTCCCCCACCCAGCATCCACTCACCAACCCACCATCTCACCCACCCACTCACCCACCCACCCACTATCTCACTCACCCACCCACCCACTCTCACTCACCCACCCACCATCTCATTCACCCACCCACCATCCACCCACCCACCATCTCACCCACCCATCCACTCACCAACCCCTATCTCACTCACCCACCATCTCACTCACCCACCCACCATCCACCCACCCACCATCTCACCCACCCACCCATCCACTCACCCACCCACCATCTCACCCACTCACAATCCCACTCTCCCATCCACCCATCTCACTCACCCACCCACCATCTCACCCACCCACTCACTCAACCACCCACCCATCCACTCACCCACCCATCCACTCACCCACCCACCCATCCACTCACTCACCCACCCATCCACTCACCCACCCACCAATCCACTCACCCACCCATCCACTCATCCACCCACCCACCATCTCACCCACTAACCCACCATCCACTCACCAACCCACCATCTCACCCACCCACCATCTCACCCACTAACCCACCATCTCACCCACTAACCCACCATCCACTCACCCACCCACTATCTCACTCACCCACCCACCATCCCACTCACTCGCTCAATCACAGCAGTCACAAGGAATGAAAGTTTACGCTTGGCGCGATCAGCAATGGCATCCACGTGGACACTGGCAAATTTAACAAGTTTATTACACAGTGCGAGTTAGAGAGTGTGTGTCTGTGTGTATGTCTGTCTGTGTGTGTGTGTCTGTGTGTCTCTGTGTGTGTGTCTGTGTGTGTGTCTGTGTGTGTGTGTGTGTCTGTGTGTGTCTGTGTGTGTGTCACTGTATGTGTGTGTCTGTCTGTGTGTGTCTGTGTGTGTGTCTCTCTGTGTGAAGACAGAATCACAGAGACTTGTGCTTCTTCTGTCTCGCTTGTCGGGCTCCTCCTCTCTGCTGCACAGAGACACGGGGAGAGAGACACGGGGAGAGAGACACGGGGAGAGAGAGACACGGGGAGAGAGAGACACGGGGAGAGAGAGACACGGGGAGAGAGAGACACGGGGAGAGAGAGACACGGGGAGAGAGAGACACGGGGAGAGAGACACGGGGAGAGAGACACGGGGAGAGAGAGACACGGGGAGAGAGAGACACGGGGAGAGAGACACGGGGAGAGAGAGACACGGGGAGAGAGACACGGGTAGAGAGACACGGGGAGAGAGACACGGGTAGAGAGACACGGGGAGAGAGACACGGGTAGAGAGACACGGGGAGAGAGACACGGGGAGAGAGACACGGGGAGAGAGACACGGGGAGAGAGAGACACGGGGAGAGACAGAGAGAGAGAGACACGGGGAGAGAGAGACACGGGGAGAGAGACACGGGGAGAGAGAGACAGAGGGTAATTGTGGACCAGAGTGAGTGGGTGAGTGAGTGAGTGGGTGAGTGGGTGAGTGAGTGAGTGGGTGAGTGGGTGAGTGAGTGAGTGGGTGAGTGAGTGAGTGGGTGAGTGAGTGAGTGGGTGAGTGAGTGAGTGGGTGAGTGAGTGGGTGAGTGAGTGAGTGGGTGAGTGAGTGAGTGGGTGAGTGAGTGAGTGAGTGGGTGAGTGAGTGGGTGAGTGAGTGGGTGAGTGGGTGAGTGAGTGGGTGAGTGAGTGAGTGGGTGAGTGGGTGAGTGGGTGAGTGAGTGGGTGAGTGAGTGAGTGGGTGAGTGAGTGAGTGGGTGGGTGAGTGAGTGGGTGAGTGAGTGAGTGAGTGGGTGAGTGAGTGAGTGAGTGGGTGAGTGAGTGAGTGGGTGAGTGAGTGAGTGGGTGAGTGAGTGAGTGAGTGGGTGAGTGAGTGGGTGAGTGAGTGAGTGGGTGAGTGAGTGACTGAGTGAGTGAGTGGGTGAGTGAGTGGCTGAGTGAGTGAGTGAGTGGCTGAGTGAGTGAGTGGATGAGTGAGTGGGTGAGTGAGTGGGTGAGTGAGTGAGTGAGTGGGTGAGTGAGTGGGTGAGTGAGTGGCTGAGTGAGTGAGTGGGTGAGTGGCTGAGTGAGTGAGTGGGTGAGTGAGTGGCTGAGTGAGTGAGTGGCTGAGTGAGTGAGTGGGTGAGTGAGTGACTGAGTGAGTGAGTGAGTGGGTGAGTGAGTGGCTGAGTGAGTGAGTGAGTGGCTGAGTGAGTGAGTGGATGAGTGAGTGGGTGAGTGAGTGGGTGAGTGGGTGAGTGAGTGAGTGGGTGAGTGAGTGGGTGAGTGAGTGGCTGAGTGAGTGGGTGAGTGGGTGAGTGAGTGAGTGGGTGAGTGAGTGAGTGAGTGGGTGAGTGAGTGAGTGGGTGAGTGGGTGAGTGAGTGGGTGAGTGCGTGAGTGGGTGAGTGAGTGGGTGAGTGAGTGAGTGGGTGAGTGAGTGGGTGAGTGGGTGAGTGAGTGAGTGAGTGGGTGAGTGAGTGGGTGAGTGAGTGAGTGGGTGAGTGGGTGAGTGGGTGAGTGAGTGAGTGGGTGAGTGAGTGAGTGGGTGAGTGAGTGAGTGGGTGAGTGAGTGAGTGGGTGAGTGAGTGAGTGAGTGGGTGAGTGAGTGGGTGAGTGAGTGAGTGGGTGAGTGAGTGGGTGAGTGAGTGGGTGAGTGGGTGAGTGAGTGGGTGAGTGAGTGAGTGGGTGAGTGAGTGGGTGAGTAAGTGAGTGGGTGAGTGAGTGAGTGGGTGAGTGAGTGGGTGAGTGGGTGAGTGAGTGAGTGGGTGAGTGAGTGAGTGGGTGAGTGAGTGAGTGGGTGAGTGAGTGGGTGAGTGAGTGAGTGGGTGAGTGAGTGACTGAGTGAGTGGGTGAGTGAGTGGCTGAGTGAGTGAGTGAGTGGCTGAGTGAGTGAGTGGATGAGTGAGTGGGTGAGTGAGTGGGTGAGTGAGTGGCTGAGTGAGTGAGTGGGTGAGTGAGTGAGTGGGTGAGTGAGTGGGTGAGTGGGCGGGTGAGTGGATGAGTGACAGTGTACGGGTTTGACCTTTGATCTCTTCACGGGCCCTGCCCGCTGGCCATGTGACTCCACCTCCTCACCAGCTGAGGAGCTCCTCACTCCAAACACCTCGGCTACACGAGGAGGAGGGAGTGGGCGGGAGATGGGGGGAGGGGAGATGGGGGAAGGTGGGGAAGGAGAGAGGGGTGAGAGAGGGGGGGTGAGAGGGGGGGTGAGAGAGGGGGGTTGAGAGGGGGGTGAGAGAGAGGGGGGGTGAGAGTTGTAAACAGGAGGGGCTGACACTGGGGGTACCCCTAAACGTCTCTATCACCGCCAAGCCAGTGATAGGGACCCCCCACCCCCTTATCAATCGATTGGCCGTTCGGTTCAATTAATCTACGAATCGATGGGGGATTTATTCGTATTATTATTTAAAAAAAAAACAGATTCGAGGTTTTTATTAAAAATAAACATTTATAAAAATCGTAAGAAAATAATTGGTATAATTTCTACTTGAAAAAATTAATGTTCGGTGGTGGGGGTGGTGGAGGGTGCTGATTGTTGCTGGCCACGTGCACAGCCAGCCTCCTCACGGGGATAGAGATCGCTATCGCTGTCTGCCTGTAGCTCCTCCTCCTTTAGCTCCTCCTCTTCCTCCTCTGGCTCCACCTCTTCGACTGCGGCCACGCCCCCTCCGCCACGGCCACGCCCCCCTCTGCCGCGGCCACGCCCCCGAGCCCTCCGAGCGAGCGGAGTGAAGGGGACTCCGCTCTCAACACTCGCACAGTCTGGGGGGGAGGGGGAGAGGGGGGGGAGAGGGGGGGAGGGGGAGAGGGGGCGGGGTTACGTAACCAAGTCGAAGGAGGCAGCTCAACCAAGTGGGTGACGTCATCACCATCACGTGACATTTACAACAGAGATCCATAGACATCCATAGAGACCCATAGAGACCCATAGACACCCATAGAGACCCATAGAAACCCACAGAGACCCATAGACATCCATAGAGACCCATAGACACCCACAAAGACCCATAGACATCCATAGAGACCCATAGAGACACATAGACACCCACAGACACCCATAGAGACCCACAGAGACCCATAGAGACACTTAGCCACCCATAGAGACCCATAGAGACCCACAGAGACCCATAGAGACGCACAGAGCCCCATAGAGACCCACAGAGACCCATAGACACCCATAGAGACCCACAGAGACCCACAGAGACCCATAGACACCCACAGAGACCCACAGAGACCCAAAGAGACCCACAGAGACCCACAGACACCCACAGAGACCCATAGAGACCCATAGAGACCCATAGAGACCCATAGACATCCATAGACACCCACAGAGACCCACAGAGACCCACAGAGACCCATAGACACCCATAGACACCCATAGACACCCACAGAGACCCACAGAGACCCACAGAGACCCACAGAGACCCATAGACACCCACAGAGACCCATAGACACCCATAGACACCCACAGAGACCCACAGAGACCCAAAGAGACCCACAGAGACCCATAGAGACCCACAGAGACCCACAGACACCCACAGAGACCCATAGAGACCAATAGAGACCCATAGAGACCCATAGACATCCATAGACACCCATAGACACCCATAGAGACCCATAGAGACCCATAGACATCCATAGACACCCATAGAGACCCATAGACACGCATAGAGACCCAAAGAGACCCACAGAGACCCATAGAGACCCATAGAGACCCACAGAGACCCAAAGAGACCCAGAGAGACCCATAGAGACCCACAGAGACTCATAGAGACCCGTAGAGACCGATAGACACCCATAGAGACCCATAGACACCCATAGACACCCACAGAGACCCATAGATACCCACAGAGACCCATAGACATCCATAGACACCCATAGAGACCCATAGACACCCACAGAGACCCACGGAGACCCACAGAGACCCATAGAGACCGATAGACACCCATAGAGACCCATAGACACCCACAGAGACCCACAGAGACCCATAGAGACGGATAGACACCCATAGAGACCCATAGAGACCCATAGATACCCATAGAGACCACAGAGACCCACAGAGACCCATAGACACCCATAGAGACCTACAGCGACCCATAGACACCCACAGAGACCCACAGAGACCCAAAGAGACCGACAGAGACCCATAGAGACCCACAGAGACCCACAGACACCCACAGAGACCCATAGAGACCCAGAGAGACCCAGAGACCCACAGAGACTCATAGAGACCCGTAGACACCCATAGAGACCCACAGAGACCCACAGAGACCCATACAGATCCACAGAGACCCAGAGAGATGCACAGACACCCACAGAGACCCACAGAGACCCACAGAGACCCATAGACACCCATAGAGACCCACAGAGACCCACAGAGACCCATAGAGACTCGTAGAGACCCATAGAGACCCAGAGACCCACAGAGACCCATAGACACCCACAGAGACCCACAGAGACCCACAGAGACCCACAGAGACTCATAGAGACCCACAGAGACCCATAGAGACCACAGAGACCCATAAACACCCATAGAGACTCGTAGAGACCCACAGAGACCCACAGAGACTCATAGAGACCCATAGAGACCCACAGAGACCGATAGAGACTCGTAGAGACCCACAGAGACCCACAGAGACTCATAAAGATCCACAGAGACCCACAGAGACCCATGGAGACCCATAGACACCCATAGAGACCCACAGAGACCCATAGAGACCCACAGAGACCCATAGAGACCCATAGAGACCCACAGACACCCATAGAGACCCATAGAGACCCACAGAGACCCATAGAGACTCGTAGAGACCCACAGAGACCCACAGAGACCCATAGAGACCCACAGACACCCATAGAGACCCATAGAGACCCACAGAGACCCATAGAGACTCGTAGAGACCCACAGAGACCCACAGAGACTCATAGAGACCCACAGAGACCTGTAGAGACTCATAGAGACACACAGAGACCCGCAGAGATCCATAGAGACCCACAGAGACCTGTAGAGAATCGTAGAGACCCACAGAGACCCACACGAATTGAAATTCTAAAACTCTCTCCATCTCCCCCCCCTTCGACGCATGTGTGTCTGTGTATGTGTATATGTGTGTGTGTCTGTGTGTCTGTGTGTGTGTGTCTGTGTGGGTGTTGTTTGGCAGTCTGCTGCCCCGAGTAGAGGACTGTCCACCCCTCATGGTGGCAGGAGCCAGAACCAGTCCACCGACCTCCTGAATGCCACAGAGATCCAGGCGGTACCGGTCCAGCTCCCGACAGAGGAGTGGCAGCCTCTCCTTCGCAGTGAGCGTTCGAACATTCCACGTGGCCACCCGTAGTGGTTTTTCGTTGTTTCTGGAGGAGCCCCGAGGGTAGAGATTCAATCTCCTGGCTCCGCCAATTTGGGGTTTGGCCAGGAGACGTCATAGACGCCTGTCCCCCCGGGGCCTCCGGCACAAGCTTACTAGTTACATATTTCAGTCGTGGTTTCGTGGTAAATTTTTGAAGGCGGAGGGGTTACCAGCACCTCGCACCCGTCCAGAGCCCCCGTTTAGCCACTGTGGTGGTCACAGACGCCATGAGAGGAGGGGACAAACGGAATTGGCCCTCCCCCCACAGCACTGTCCACGACAGAGTTTCCCATCTGGCACCGCGAGGAGGTAGGGGGTTGTTTTGAACAAAAGAATGAAGGGGGCGTGGGAGCGTGGCGGTGAGGTGTGGGAAGCTGTAAGCCCCAGGTTACTTTGGGCTCGCCTTCCCATCAACCGGAGGCGAGGAGTGGTGGTCGTGGTTACTTATGCCCCCAACGAAGACGACCTCCTGTCACAGGTGCTGGCTAAAGTGGCCCCTCGGGATAGAGTCATCTTGTTGGGTGACTTCAATGCCCGAGTTGGTCATGATGCTGGCACCTGGTCTGGAGTGATTGGAGGGCATGGGCCAGATCAGCTCAATAACAACGGTAGGAGGCTGCTAGATTTTTGTGCAGCCCATGGGCTTGAAATTACCAACACGCTGTTCCGGCATCGGCGCATCCACACAACATCATCGATGCATGCCGGGACTACATAGTGACGGACCAGCGGATGCGAGCCCATGTCCTTGACACCAGGACCTACCGTGGAGCTGATCTGCCCTCTGACCATCGACTGGTCATTTGAAACATGCGCCTGCCATTCTTCCACTCCGATGGAGGGTGGACACCCAGGACCCCATTCAAACCTCAAGTGGCCTGGTCTCAGTTATCTGATGAAAGTTGCAAGCGAGAATTTAATCATCGCTTGCGGCTGGGGTTGGCATCGTCCCCGACTCCTCCTGATGTCGAGGGTAAATGGGCGAGGTTTAGGACTGTTACTCATGCAGCTGCAATGGCTGCTTTGGGTACGCGGTCCAGACCTCCCCAGAGACCCTGGCTGACAGAGGAGGTGTTCAGGATGGTTGAGAAAAAGCGACAGGCCCACTGTCATCGGATACAGAATCCCACGTCAGAGAATGAGGAGGCTTACCGCAACCTTCGCTCGGAGGTTCGGAGAGCCGTGAGGCGCTGCAGGGATGGGTGGTGGCCGCGGGTTGTTGAGGAGATGGAGTGTGCCTCAGTGGCCCGTGATCACAAATCTCTATTTAACTCCATCAATAAAGCAACCTGCAGCGCCACACCTATTACCATCATTAGGGGAAAAAACGGTGATCCAATCTCCAACCCCCAGGAACAAGTTTGCAGATTTGCTGAGTATTTCTGTGAGGTCCTGGGGGTGGGGAAATCCCTCAGCCAGGAAAACATCGTGGCACAAAGTGGGGATGACCCTGCTAAGGCTACGGTGCCTCAAATATTGGAGGAAGTCACCCCCTGTGATTGGCTGGCTGGGGTGCTATCTGTTGAGGAAGTACTGAAGGCGATCCAGAGTCTGAGACCAGGAAAGGCAGCGGGCAGAGATGGTCTCCCAAGCGAAATGCTGAGGGAGGGTGGCGTTTGTGCACAGACTGCCCTATATGACATCATAACAACAGTCTGGACCACTGGACGGGTTCCGCAGAATTGGAAGGATGCCCTGGTGGTTCCCCTCTTTAAGAAGGGGGACCGCACAGACTGTAACAACTACAAGGGCATCTCACTCCTCAGTGTGCCGGGAAAGGTCCTGGCAAGGATTATTCAACATCGCCTTGCCGGGCACGCTGAGGAGAGGCTTGCGGAGCCACAATGCGGTTTCAGGAAAGGGCGGTCCTGCACAGATGCCATACTTTCTGTCCGTCTGCTACAGCAGAGGTGTAGGGAATTCCAGCAAGACATACATCTCTGCTTTATTGACCTGGTCAAGGCCTATGATACCATCAGTAGGCCTGGACTCTGGGTTGCTCTTCGTGCTTTCGGAGTCCCTGACCCTCTGCTCACGATCATTAAGGACCTTCATGATGGTGAGCGGGCCCAGGTAAAACTACGTGGCTGGGAGTCAGAGCCATTCCCTGTACACCTTGGGGTGCGACAGGGATGTCCTCTGGCTCCCACATTATTTAACATCTATTTTGACCACGTAGTTCGTGAAGCCTTCAATAGCTGTACCGCGGAAATCTCCATATGGTACAGATATAATGGGAGGCTGATCGATGCCCGGGTGCGGTCAAGGGATGGCTCCCTATTGCTCAACCACGTTATGTATGCCGATAATTTGGTAATAGCTGCTCATTCAGAGGAGGAGTTGGAGACGCTGCTGCTGAGACTGGAGTGTGCCACTGAGAGGTAGGGCCTTACCATCAGCCCCACCAAAACTAAGCACCTGCCTGGGTATTTTGTACCATCGGACACTCCACCCCCACAACTCCCAATCGGTGATGGGGCAGTTGTGGATAGAGTGGAGAGTTTCCCATACCTGGGCAGTGTGCTTATGACCGGCTCCAGTTTAACAGCAGAGGTCTCACTCCGAATCAGTCGAGTGGCATTATCTTTTCATCGGTTGCGTATGTGTGTGTGTGTATGTGTGTCTGTGTGTATGTCTGTGTGTATGTGCGTCTGTGTGTATGTCTGTGTCTGTGTGTGTGTCTGTGTGTGTGTGTGTCTGTGTGTGTATGTGTGTGTCTGTGTGTGTATGTGTGTGTCTGTGTGTGTATGTGTGTGTCTCTGTGTGTATGTCTATGTGTGTGTGTCTGTGTGTGTGTCCGTGTGTGTGTGTCTGTGCTGTACATCTCTGCAGGGCGATGCGGTAACGTCTCCCCGCCTTGTGCTGGCTGATCTGATCCTGATTGATGAATCTCTGCGTCAGGTGGCAGAAAAGCCGCTTCCTGTAACACACAAAGACACACAGACAGACACACAGACACACACACACACAAAGACACACACACAGACACACACACAGACACACACAGACACACACACAGACACACACACACAGAGACACGTGGTGGTGGTGGTGACACAGAGAGACCGAGAGGTCACACGGGGTAAAGACATCAACATCACTTCCCTCACTCTGTCTCTGTCTCACTCACTCTGTGTCTCTCTCTTTGTGTCTCTCTCTTTGTGTCTCTCTCTCTGTCTCACTCTCTCTCTCTCTCTCTGTGTCTCTGTGTGTCTCTCTCTGTCTCACTCTCTCTCTCTGTGTCTCTGTCTGTGTCTCTCTCTCTGTCTCACTCACTCTGTGTGTCTCTCTCTCTCTGTCTCTGTCTCTCTCTTTGTGTCTCTCTGTGTCTCTGTGTGTCTCTCTCTGTCTCTGTCTCTTCGTGTCTCTCTGTCTCTCTCTGTCTCTCTGTCTCTCTGTGTCTCTCTGTCTCTCTCTCTGTCTCTGTGTCTCTCTCTGTCTCTCTGTGTCTCTCTGTCTCTGTCTGTCTCTCTGTGTCTCTCTGTCTCTCTCTGTCTCTCTCTCTGTCTCTCTGTGTCTCTGTATCTGTGTCTCTGTATCTGTGTGTCTCTCTCTCTCTCTGTCTCTCTCTGTCTCTGTGTCTCTGTCTCTCTGTGTCTCTGTCTCTGTGTCTCTCTCTGTCTCTCTCTGTGTCTCTGTCTCTGTGTCTCTGTCTCTCTGTGTCTCTGTCTCTGTGTCTCTCTCTGTCTCTCTCTGTGTCTGTGTCTCTGTATCTGTGTCTCTATCTGTCTCTCTCTGTGTCTCTCTCTGTCTCTCTCTGTGTCTCTGTATCTGTATGTCTCTCTATGTCTCTGTGTCTCTGTGTCTGTGTCTCTATCTGTCTCTCTCTGTGTCTCTCTCTGTCTCTCTGTCTCTGTGTCTCTCTGTCTGTGTCTCTATCTGTCTCTCTCTGTGTCTCTGTCTCTCTCTGTCTCTCTCTGTGTCTCTGTGTGTCTGTCTCTGTCTCTCTGTCTCTGTGTCTCTGCATCTGTGTCTCTATCTGTCTCTCTCTGTGTCTCTCTCTGTGTCTCTCTCTGTGTCTCTCTGTGTCTCTGTATCTGTGTGTCTCTCTCTGTCTCTGTGTCTCTGTGTCTGTCTCTATCTGTCTCTCTCTGTGTCTCTCTCTGTCTCTCTGTCTCTGTGTCTCTCTGTCTGTGTCTCTATCTGTCTCTCTCTGTGTCTCTGTCTCTCTCTGTGGCTCTGTGTCTCTCTCTGTGTCTGTGTCTCTGTCTCTCTGTCTCTCTGTGTGTCTCTCTGTGTCTCTCTGTCTCTCTCTCTGTGTCTCTCTCTGTGTGTCTCTGTCTCTCTCTGTGTCTCTCTGTCTCTGTGTCTCTATCTCTGTCTCTCTCTCTCTCTCTGTGTCTCTGTGTCTCTCTCTGTCTCTCTCTCTCTCTCTGTGTCTCTGTGTCTCTCTCTGTCTCTCTCTCTGTGTCTCTCTCTGTCTCTCTGTGTCTCTGTCTCTGTGTCTCTCTGTCTGTGTCTCTATCTGTCTCTCTCTGTGTCTCTGTCTCTCTCTGTGTCTCTGTGTCTCTCTGTGTTTCTGTCTCTGTATCTGTGTGTCTCTCTCTGTCTCTGTGTCTCTCTGTCTCTCTCTGTGTCTCTCTGTCTCTGTGTCTCTGTGTCTGTCTCTCTGTGTCTCTATTTCTCTCTGTCTCTGTGTCTGTCTCTCTGTCTCTGTGTCTCTGTGTCTCTGTCTCTCTCTCTGTGTCTCTGTGTCTCTGGCTCTGTGTCTCTCTCTGTCTCTGTCTCTCTGTCTCTCTGTCTCTGTGTCTCTCTCTGTGTCTCTGTGTCTCTCTCTCTCTGTCTCTGTGTCTCTGTGTCTCTGTGTCTCTCTCTGTCTGTGTGTCTCTCTCTCTCTGTCTCTCTGTGTGTCTCTGTCTCTCTGTCTCTCTCTCTGTCTCTGTGTCTCTGTCTCTCTGTGTCTCTGTGTCTCTCTGTCTCTGTGTCTCTCTGTGTCTCTGTCTCACCGCCCCGCGTCGTCCAGGTGTCCGCCCTCCTCCCTGTCCCTGTCCCTGTCCCCCCGAGCCGCACGACGGCGTACAAACGAGCGGCTCCTCACGTGACGAGACAACTCCTCGGCCCGCGGGGGCATCTCGTGGCTCGTCAGGGAGCACAGCACCTGGCATAGTAACGTGGACATTGCCACACACACACACAGAGACACACACACACGACACACACACACAGGTAAAGATCCCCCAGGTAGCCTCTAGCAGGGCTGTAGGGGCAAGTGCTGTGTTAGTAGCGAGTAGCAGCAGCAGTGTCTATGTACTACACACACACAGGTAAAGGTCCCCCAGGTAGCCTCTAGCAGGGCAGTAGGGGCAAGTGCTGTGCAGTTAGTAGCAGCAGCAGTGTCTATGTACTACACACACCACACACACAGACAAAGGTCCCCCAGGTAGCCTCTAGCAGGGCTGTAGGGGCAAGTGCTGTAAGTAGCGAGTATCAGCAGCAGTGTCTATGTACTACACACACCACACACAGACAAAGCTACCCCAGGTAGCCTCTAGCAGGGCTGTAGGGGCAAGTGCTGTGTTAGTAGCGAGTAGCAGCAGCAGTGTCTATGTACTACACACACCACACACAGACAAAGCTACCCCAGGTAGCCTCTAGCAGGGCTGTAGGGGCAAGTGCTGTGTTAGTAGCGAGTAGCAGCAGCAGTGTCTATGTACTACACACACACAGGTAAAGGTCCCCCAGGTAGCCTCTAGCAGGGCTGTAGGGGCAAGTGCTGTTAGTAGCGAGTAGCAGCAGCAGTGTCTATGTACTACACACACACAGGTAAAGGTCCCCCAGGTAGCCTCTAGCAGGGCTGTAGGGGCAAGTGCTGTGTTAGTAGCGAGTAGCAGCAGCAGTGTCTATATACTACACACACCACACACAGACAAAGCTACCCCAGGTAGCCTCTAGCAGGGCTGTAGGGGCAGGTGCTGTTAGTAGCGAGTAGCAGCAGCAGTGTCTATGTACTATACACACCACACACACAGACAAAGCTCCCCCAGGTAGCCTCTAGCAGGGCTGTAGGGGCAAGTGCTGTGTTAGTAGCGAGTAGCAGCAGCAGTGTCTATGTACTACACACACCACACACAGACAAAGCTCCCCCAGGTAGCCTCTAGCAGGGCTGTAGGGGCAGGTGCTGTTAGTAGCGAGTAGCAGCAGCAGTGTCTATGTACTACACACACCACACACAAAGCTACCCCAGGTAGCTTCTAGCAGGGCTGTAGGGGCAAGTGCTGTTAGTAGCGAGTAGCAGCAGCAGTGTCTATGTACTACACACACCACACACAGACAAAGCTACCCCAGGTAGCCTCTAGCAGGGCTGTAGGGGCAAGTGCTGTTAGTAGCGAGTAGCAGCAGCAGTGTCTATGTACTACACACACCACACACAGACAAAGCTTCCCCAGGTAGCCTCTAGCAGGGCTGTAGGGGCAAGTGCTGTTAGTAGCAAGTAGCAGCAGCAGTGTCTATGTACTACACACACCACACACACAAAGCTCCCCCAGGTAGCCTCTAGCAGGGCTGTAGGGGCAAGTGCTGTTAGTAGCGAGTAGCAGCAGCAGTGTCTATGTACTACACACACCACACACAAAGCTCCCCCAGGTAGCCTCTAACAGATTGTAGGGAGTAAGTGGGCGAATGAGTGAGTGAATGAACGAGTGAGTGAATGAGCGAGTGGGTGACTGAGTGAGTGAATGAGTGAATGAGTGAGTGGGTGAATGATTGAGTGAATGAATGAGTGGGTGAATGAGTGAGTGAACAAGTAAGTGACTGAATGAGTGAGTGGGTCAATGATTGAGTGAATGAGTGAGTGGGGGAATGAGTGAGTGAATGAGTGAGTGAATGAGTGAGTGGGGGAATGATTGAGTGAATGAGTGAGTGAATGGGTGAATGATTGAGTGAATGAATGAGTGGGTGAATGAGTGAGTGAATGAATGGGTGAATGAGTGCGTGGGTGAATGAATGAGTGAATGAATGAGTGAATGAGTGAATAAATGAGTGAATGAATAAATGAGTGAATGAGTGAATGAATGAGTGAATGAATGAATTAGTGAATGCGTGAAGGGATGAGCGAGTGAATGAGTGAATGAGTGAGTTAATGAATGAATAAGTGAGTGAATGAGTGAATGAATGAGTGAATGAGCGAGTGAATGAGTGAATGAGCGAGTGAATGAGTGAATGAGTGAGTGAATGAGTGAATGAATGAGTGAATGAGTGAGTGATTGAATGAGAGAGTGAATGAGTGAATGAGTGAGTGAATGAGCAAGTGAGTGAATGAGTGAATGAATGAGTGAATGAGTGAGTGAATGAGTGAAAGAATGAGTGAATGAGTGAATGAGTAAATGAATGAGTGAATGAGTGAATGAATGAGTGAGTGAATGAGTGAATGAATGAGTGAATGAATGAGTGAATGAGTGAGTGAGTGGCTCACGGACCCGTACTCTCCCCCCTTCCCCCGTCACCACTTGGAGCTCCGGGTTCTGAGCTAAGATGTCCTGAACCTCTTTAGACTCCGTCTACACAGAGACACGGGGAGAGAGACAGAGACACGGGGAGAGAGACACGGGGAGGGAGACACGGGGAGAGAGACAGAGACACGGGGAGTGAGACACGGGGAGTGAGACAGAGACACGGGGAGAGAGACAGAGACACGGGGAGTGAGACAGAGACACGGGGAGAGAGAGACACGGGGAGAGAGACAGAGACACGGGGAGAGAGAGACACGGGGAGAGAGACAGAGACTAGGGGAGAGAGACAGAGACACGGGGAGTGAGACAGAGACACAGGGAGAGAGACAGAGACACGGGGAGAGAGAGACACGGGAGAGAGACAAAGACACGGGGAAACAGAGACACGGGGAGAGAGACAGAGACACGGGGAGAGAGAGACACGGGGAGAGAGACAGAGACTAGGGGAGAGAGACAGAGACACGGGGAGTGAGACAGAGACACAGGGAGAGATACAGAGAGACACGGGGAGTGAGACAGAGACTAGGGGAGACAGAGACACGGGGAGACAGAGACACGGGGAGAGAGACAGAGACGCGGGGAGTGAGACAGAGACACGGGGAGAGAGAAACAGAGACACGGGGAGAGAGACAGAGACACGGGGAGTGAGACAGAGACACGGGGAGAGAGACAGAGACACGGGGAGTGAGAAAGAGACACGGGGAAAGAAACACGGGGAGAGAGACAGAGACACGGGGAGAGAGACAGAGACACGGGGAGAGAGACAGAGACACGGGGAGAGAGACACGGGGAGAGAGACAGAGACACGGGGAGAGAGACAGAGACACGGGGAGAGAGACAGAGACACGGGGAGACAGAGACACGGGGAGTGAGACAGAGACACGGGGAGACAGAGACACGGGGAGTGAGACAGAGACACGGAGAGAGACACAGAGACACGGGGAGTGAGACAGAGACACGGGGAGAGAGACAGAGACACGGGGAGAGAGACAGAGACACGGGGAGAGAGACAGAGACACGGGGAGTGAGACAGAGACACGGGGAGAGAGACAGAGACACGGGGAGAGAGACAGAGACACGGGGAGTGAGACAGAGACACGGGGAGAGAAACAGAGACACGGGGAGTGAGACAGAGACACGGGGAGTGAGACAGAGACACGGGGAGTGAGACAGAGACACGGGGAGAGAGACAGAGACACGGGGAGTGAGAAAGAGACACGGGGAAAGAGACACGGGGAGAGAGACAGAGACACGCGGAGAGAGACAGAGACACGGGGAGAGAGACAGAGACACGGGGAGAGAGACACGGGGAGAGAGACAGAGACAAGGGGAGAGAGACAGAGACACGGGGAGAGAGACAGAGACACGGGGAGAGAGACAGAGACACGGGGAGTGAGACAGAGACACGGGGAGAGAGACAGAGACACGGGGAGTGAGACAGAGACACGGGGAGTGAGACAGAGACACGGGGAGAGAGACAGAGACACGGGGAGAGAGACACGGGGAGAGGGACAGAGACACGGAGAGAGAGAGACAGAGACACGGGGAGAGAGACACGGGGAGAGAGACAGAGACACGGGGAGAGAGACAGAGACACGGGGAGTGAGACAGAGACACGGGGAGACAGAGACACGGGGAGAGAGACAGAGACACGGGGAGAGAGGTACGGGGAGAGAGACAGAGACACGGGGCGAGAGACACGGGGAGAGAGACAGAAACACGGGGAGACAGAGACACGGGGAGAGAGACAGAGACACGGGGAGTGAGACAGAGACACGGGGAGAGAGACAAAGACACGGGGAGAGAGACAGAGACACGGGGAGTGAGACAGAGACACGGAGAGAGAGACAGAGACACGGGGAGTGAGACAGAGACACGGGGAGAGAGAGACACGGGGAGAGAGACAGAGACACGGGGAGAGAGAGACACGGGGAGAGAGACAGAGACTAGGGGAGAGAGACAGAGACACGGGGAGTGAGACAGAGACACAGGGAGAGAGACAAAGACACGGGGAAACAGAGACACGGGGAGAGAGACAGAGACACGGGGAGAGAGAGACACGGGGAGAGAGACAGAGACTAGGGGAGAGAGACAGAGACACGGGGAGTGAGACAGAGACTAGGGGAGACAGAGACACGGGGAGACAGAGACACGGGGAGAGAGACAGAGACACGGGGAGTGAGACAGAGACACGGGGAGAGAGAAACAGAGACACGGGGAGAGAGACAGAGACACGGGGAGTGAGACAGAGACACGGGGAGAGAGACAGAGACACGGGGAGTGAGAAAGAGACACGGGGAAAGAGACACGGGGAGAGAGACAGAGACACGGGGAGAGAGACAGAGACACGGGGAGAGAGACAGAGACACGGGGAGAGAGACACGGGGAGAGAGACAGAGACACGGGGAGAGAGACAGAGACACGGGGAGAGAGACAGAGACAAGGGGAGAGAGACAGAGACACGGGGAGAGAGACAGAGACACGGGGAGACAGAGACACGGGGAGAGAGACAGAGACACGGGGAGAGAGGTACGGGGAGAGAGACAGAGACACGGGGCGAGAGACACGGGGAGAGAGACAGAAACACGGGGAGACAGAGACACGGGGAGAGAGACAGAGACACGGGGAGTGAGACAGAGACACGGGGAGAGAGACAAAGACACGGGGAGAGAGACAGAGACACGGGGAGTGAGACAGAGACACGGAGAGAGAGACAGAGACACGGGGAGTGAGACAGAGACACGGGGAGAGAGAGACACGGGGAGAGAGACAGAGACACGGGGAGAGAGAGAAACGGGGAGAGAGACAGAGACTAGGGGAGAGAGACAGAGACACGGGGAGTGAGACAGAGACACAGGGAGAGAGACAAAGACACGGGGAAACAGAGACACGGGGAGAGAGACAGAGACACGGGGAGAGAGAGACACGGGGAGAGAGACAGAGACTAGGGGAGAGAGACAGAGACACGGGGAGTGAGACAGAGACTAGGGGAGACAGAGACACGGGGAGACAGAGACACGGGGAGAGAGACAGAGACACGGGGAGTGAGACAGCGACACGGGGAGAGAGACAGAGACACGGGGAGTGAGAAAGAGACACGGGGAAAGAGACACGGGGAGAGAGACAGAGACACGGGGAGAGAGACAGAGACACGGGGAGAGAGACACGGGGAGAGAGACAGAGACAAGGGGAGAGAGACAGAGACACGGGGAGAGAGACAGAGACAAGAGGAGAGAGACAGAGACACGGGGAGAGAGACAGAGACACGGGGAGACAGAGACACGGGGAGTGAGACAGAGACACGGGGAGACAGAGACACGGGGAGTGAGACAGAGACACGGAGAGAGACACAGAGACACGGCGAGTGAGACAGAGACACGGGGAGAGAGACAGAGACACGGGGAGAGAGACAGAGACACGGGGAGAGAGACAGAGACACGGGGAGTGAGACAGAGACACGGGGAGAGAGACAGAGACACGGGGAGTGAGACAGAGACACGGGGAGAGAAACAGAGACACGGGGAGTGAGACAGAGACACGGGGAGTGAGACAGAGACACGGGGAGTGAGACAGAGACACGGGGAGAGAGACAGAGACACGGGGAGAGAGACAGAGACACGGGGAGTGAGACAGAGACACGGGGAGAGAGACAGAGACACGGGGAGTGAGACAGAGACACGGGGAGAGAGACAGAGACACGGGGAGAGAGACACGGGGAGAGGGACAGAGACACGGGGAGAGAGACAGACACGAGGGGAGAGAGACACGGGGAGAGAGACAGAGACACGGGGAGAGAGACAGAGACACGGGGAGTGAGACAGAGGCACGGGGAGTGAGACAGAGACACGGGGAGAGAGACAGAGACACGGGGAGTGAGACAGAGACACGGAGAGAGAGACAGAGACACGGGGAGTGAGACAGAGACACGGGGAGTGAGACAGAGACACGGGGAGAGAGACACGGGGAGAGAGACAGAGACACGGGGAGAGAGACAAAGACACGGGGAGAGAGACAGAGACACTGGGAGTGAGACAGAGACACGGGGAGTGAGACAGAGACACGGGGAGAGAGACAGAGACACGGGGAGTGAGACAGAGACACGAGGAGTGAGACAGAGACACGGGGAGAGAGACAGAGAGACATGGGGAGAGAGACAGAGACACGGGGCGAGAGACAGAGACACGGGGAGAGAGACAGAGACACGGGGAGAGAAACATAGACACGGAGAGAGAGACAGAAACACGGGGAGTGAGACACGGTGAGAGAGACAGAGACACGGTGAGAGAGACACGGGGAGTGAGACAGAGACACAGTGAGAGAGACAGAGACACGGTGAGAGAGACACGGGGAGTGAGACAGAGACACGGGGAGAGACACGGAGAGACAGAGACACGAGGCGAAAGAGACAGAGACACAGACACACACATAAACACACACACACACACAGACACACACATAGACAACAACAACAACCGCCATTCGCCACAAAGTGGCGGTGACGTCACCACGACGCTTGTGCCAGGCCATGTGCACCTTGAGGCCACGTGAAGTGTCGAACGCCCGCTGGCAGGTCACGGGGCAGACCCAGGTGCCACGGGTCGACTGACTGAGATGACTGGCTGATGCACCACCTGTGCCCCCTACTGTGCCAACCTGTTGTGCTTTAGCCACCCGGCGCTCCGCTCATTGTTGTGAGCGTCGCTCCTCCGCCCTCCGTTGTTGTTGGAGGACGACTACCTCCAACTGCCCAGTAGCGTCCTTCACGAGCCTCCTCCACAGAGGCCAATCTTGACACCGCTGGTACCAGTCATCAGCAAGTCCACTCAGCTCCACGTCCTCCTGTACCACATCACTCCATCTCTTCTCTAGCCCGTGCCGCGCCCGTTTAGCCCCCTCGATCCGGCCGAACAAAAGCTGTTTCGGCATACGGTGGCTGGGCATGCGGGCTACATGACCCAGCCATCGCAGCCTTCCCCGCCGGAGGAGCTCACCGATGGGACCTTGCCCAGATCTTTCAAGGATTTGTGAGCTCCTCACACAATCCAGACTGGTTAAACCCAGGATGGATCGTAGGCAGGCCAGCCTAAATGTTTCTAACTGGCGAAGATGTTCCATTAGGGGGGTCCAAGTTTCGCAAGCATAGAGAAGGGAGGGAATGACCATGGCCGAGAAGACCTGAAGCTTATTGCGGAGCGACAGACCAGGTAGCTTCCACACAGCGTTACACAACCGATGAAAAGATATTGCCGCTCGACTGATTCGGAGTGAGACCTCTGCTGTTAAACTGGAGCTGGTCATAATCACACTGCCCAGGTATGGGAAACTCTCCACAACTGCCCCATCACCGATTGGGAGTTGTGGGGGTGGAGTGTCCGATGGTACAAAATACCCAGGCAGGTGCTTAGTTTTGGTGGGGCTGATGATAAGGCCCCATCTCTTAGTGGCACGCTCCAGTCTCAGCAGCAGCGTCTCCAACTCCTCCTTTGAATGAGCAGCTATTACCAAATCATCGGCATACATAACGTGGTTGACCAATAGGGAGCCATCCCTTGACCACACCCGGGCATCGATCAGCCTCCCATTATATCTGTACCATATGGAGATTCCCCCGGTACAGCTATTGAAGGCTTCACGAACTACGTGGTCAAAATAGATGTTAAATAATGTGGGAGCCAGAGGACATCCCTGTCGCACCCCAAGGTGTACAGGGAATGGCTCTGACTCCCGGCCACGTAGTTTTACCCGGGCCCGCTGACCATCATGAAGGTCCTTAATGATTGTGGGCAGAGGGTCAGCTACTCCAAAAGCACGAACAACAACCCAGAGCCCAGGCCCATTGATGGTATCATAGGCCTTGACCAGGTCAATAAAGCAGAGATGTAGGTCTTGCTGGAATTCCCTACACCTCTGCTATAGCAGACGCACAGAAAGTATGGCATCTGTGCAGGACCGCCCTTTCCTGAAACCGCATTGGGGCTCCGCAAGCCTCTCCTCAGCGTGCCTGGCAAGGCGATGTTGAATAATCCTTGCCAGGACCTTTCCCGGCACACTGAGGAGTGAGATGCCCCTGTAGTTGTTACAGTCTGTGCGGTCCCCCTTCTTAAAAAGGGGGACCGCCAGGGCATCCTTCCAATCCTGCGGAACCCGTCCAGTGGTCCAGACTGTTGTTATGATGTCATATAGGGCAGTCTGTGCACAAAGGCCACCCTCCCTCAGCATTTCGCTTGGGAGATCATCTCTGCCCGCTGCCTTTCCTGGTCTCAGACTCTTGATCGCCTTCAGTACTTCCTCAACAGATGGCACCTCAGGCAGCCACTCACAGGGCGTGACTTCTTCCAATATTAGAGACACACACACATGTGCCATTCTGAGACGCACACACACACAGAGACACACACAGAGACACACACACAGAGACACACACACACAGACACACACACACAGACACACACGCACAGACACACACACAGAGACACACACAGACACACAGTGACACACACAGAGACACACACACAGACACAGAGACACACACACACAGACACACACGCACAGACACACACACACAGAGACACACAGTGACACACACAGTGACACACACAGAGACACACACACAGACAGACACACAGACACACACAGACACACAGTGACACACACAGTGACACACACAGAGACACACACAGACACACACAGAGACACAGACACACAGACACACACAGACACACACAGACAAACAAAGATCCCCCGTGTAGCCTTAACAGACTGTAGGGGCAAGTGCTGTTAGCGAGCACCTATGAAGGCCGGAACGGTACACGAGGGGGTGGGTGGCCAGCACCACGCCCGAACGCCTTTGTCTCCCTAGTGACGATGTTTACTACACACCGCACCAGGTACTGATTTGAGGCTGAGTCGACCTAGGGGAGGCCCGGGACCGGTTCAGATAATCGTCACTGGTGTTGGCCGTGAGCGGGAATCGAACCCGGGTCGCCAGGTTCATAGCGCAGCGTAGCGCTAACCACTACACTACCGCTCCCCACAAACACACACAGACACACACACACGCAGACACACATAAACACACAGACACACACAGAGACATACACACAAAGACACACACAGACAGACACACAGACACACACACACAGTGACACACACAGACCCACACACATTGACACACACACAGACACACACAGTGACACACAGACACACAGAGACACACACACACAGACACACAGACACACACACAGACAAACACACACAGACACACACAGACACACACACACAGTGAGACACACACAGACACACACAGTGACACACACAGTGACACACACACACACACAGACACACACACAGAGACACACACAGACAGACACAGACACACACACAGACACACACACAGACACACACACAGACACACACACAGACACACACACAGACACACACACAGACACACACACACAGTGAGACACACATAGTGAGACACACACACACAGAGACACAGACACACACACAGACACACACACACAGACACACACACACAGACACACACACAGACACACAGACAGAGAGACACTCACCATGCTGACCACGTGGTCTGTCTTGGTGTCCAGCCGCGAGACTTCGCGGCAGGCTGATGACGTCACACGAAGCCCCTCGTCGCCTCCGGTCTCTGCGCAGTGACGTCATTACGCGATGACGTCATTACGCACGCCTGCTGAAAGGCGTCATCGCGCTGTGACGTCACACAGACAACAACCACAACAATTTCCATTCGCTACTAAGTGGCGGTGACGTCACAACGACGCTTGTGCCAGGCCATGTGCACCCTGAGGCCACGTGAAGTCTCAAACGCCCGCGGGCAGGAGGTCACGGGGCAGACCCAGGTGCCACAGGTCGACTGACTGAGATGACTGGCTGATGCACCACCTGTTCCCCCTACAGTGCCAACCTGCTGTGCTTTAGCCACCCGGCGCTCCGCTCGTTGTTGTGAGCGTCGCTCCTCCGCCCTCCGTTGTTGTTGGAGGGCGACTGCCTCCAACTGCCCAGTAGCGTCCTTCAAGAGCCTCCTCCACAGAGGCCGATCTTGACACCGCTGGTACCGGTCATCGGCAAGTCCACTCAGCTCCACGTCCTCCTGTACCACGTCACTCCATCTCCTCTCTAGCCCATGCCGCGCCCGTTTAGCCCCCTCGATCCGGCCGAACAAAAGCTGTTTTGGCATGCGGTGGCTGGGCATGCAGGCTACATGACCCAGCCATCGC